GGGGCAGTGCCACAGTTGTTGATTGGCTCAGCATTGGCCAGCAGCAGGTCTATCTTGAAGTCAGGCTGGCATTGGCTCTGGCAGACACAGAGGATGTTTCTGGCAGCTCCTCAGGGAAATCTTTCCTCTTGCCCCTTTATTAACAAAACCTTGTCACACAAACCCAATACAATATGTTCCCTCTAAGTATCTTTAGGCAGACTTTTTAACTCAAGATATCCAGCTACAAACTAATATTCAATGCCTTCTAGACCACACAGTCATTCATAAATAACAGACAAATAACAAAAGCACAAAGATCAATTTTTCTATAGTGCTCTCAAAACTAAAGCAATTCTTCTAGTAATGTTTGTTACAATATTCTTCAACTAGCTGTAGTAATATTCTTACATGAAGTGTCTTTTAAGGAAAAATATGGATACACATATGAACATGGATACACAATGAATGCTAAAGAAATTCATTTCAACATTTTTTTAAGAATTATTTCTAGGGATATCTTCAAAGAGACTTCACAGTATATTAGTCCTTATTGATGGAAAGTATTCAAATTGAAGAAAAAAAAACCAGCAAGTTTCTTCTTCTAAAATAAAAGTTTACCTGTATTGTGACCATATTTATCAACATTCATTCTAGTTTACAGAGACAGGTTTTAGTAAGTACAGATCCCACTCCCCTGCAGGCAGCCTTTTGAGCCAGAGGTGTCAGAGCTCTGACCACAAATGTGTCTGCATATCAAAAGGCTGCATTCCTAGCTCCTCCTTCTTTGCCTCTTTCTGTTTAGGCAAAAGGAGAGTAATACTACACCTTTGCTTATTTTATACTACATAAATGCTGGAGATGAGATGCAAAAACACGGATACATCAAACAATTCCTATGAGCAACTCCACCAAAAAAGTTTGTAGATGAATGTGATTAAACATTTTTTTTAAAGATAATTTGGAGAGAGCTCCAACTCTTCTTATATTAACGACCTTTTTTTTTTTAATTAAAATTTAAGTGTTCAGACTCTGGATCATCTGTGCAGCAGATGCAGGTGCAGCTCAGGTCTCGTAGGATAACCAGCAGGAACCTATCACTATGAGCACACACCATACCTGAACTGGATAAACAGTATAGCTGCATTTCTACTACTCTGAACCCTTAAGCACTGAGTATTGAATGGTCAAAACTTACTCTGCAATGACAGTCCTTTTATCTCCACACCAAGTTCCAAAAAACACATGTGCAAGCACAGAGACTCCAGTTATGCCAGACTGAGATACAGATGGATGTTATCTCAAGTCTTAGGTAGCTAGCTCCACAGGGAGTCACAGCTCCCTCAAAGCACATTTCCCAGGACTAAAATGCAGGTGGCTTATTAGACAAGCTGTAGTGTCACACAAATGTGCTGATTCAGTTACGGACCACGACTGTGTTTAATTTCATAAGCCACACCACCAAAAAAAAAAAAAATAAAAGCCCACAGAAATGCCAAGTGAAAAAATACCACTGTTACGACATTAGAGTAACTAGAGTACCAAGTCCAAACTGATTCTTCTAGATAAAAGGACACGCTACAATAGTCATATTCTAGTGAAAAGGATCAACAGCATAGTGATTCACCTGCAATGCAAGCAATCCGACCTCACATTTAGCATCTGAGCTACACTTTGAGGTAGCAAAACTTCCTGGAATTCTTAAGACCTAAGTTCAGAGATGTCCTGGTCTCTCTGAATTAAGTTGGATTCAGAAGAATAGGACCTACACACAGTTAAAAAGCCTGACCAAGCTACCTGTACAAATGGTGAACTCCTGCCTGGTATCTCTATCATACAGATTACTGCAGCTCCCTCGTGATGAGTATGAAGAGTAGTAGCTTGTAGTAAACCATAAACACATTGTATATTTTTATCCCACTATATACTATATTTAAATTATTCTTACCATAAGATCATCAGGGAAGACACATAACAAGATTATGAGGGGGAAAAAAGTCTTTTTGAACAATTGTGCTACAAATCCTAAACTTCTCCAGTCTTTCTTTGGGTACCAGAACTATCACCCCTTGGACAACACACATGCATCATCCAATTGCTTTTAACCCAGGACCCAAAGTCCTTTATGTAGCAGTCCATATACATACAACCTCACACAGACCTCAAAATTATTTTTTTCTACATCAATATGTATTTTCCCTGCTTTTTGACTCAGAAGTTCAGACACATCTAAGACACCAAAAACACTATGCAGGGTTGTAACAGCTGGTGCTGACACTGGCAAAGCTAGGAGCACTCACCACCCATCTTGAAGAGACCTGAATTTCAAGCTCACCGTAGGTCAGCTAAGAGAAATGAGCTGATTTACAGAAAACTAAGATTTTTCAAGCAATAGTTACAAACTTATACAGTGATGTAAAAAATGAGTACTGGAAGAAGATTACAATCTTCAATTATCTACTACAGAAGCATGATTAAAAAGTAAGACAAATAATTACCAGCCACCTCAAAATACCCATTATCCAAACAGTTCAGGTTTATGAAAAGTCACACTTCCTCTCACAGAGAAAACCATGACCCTGCTGGAACCAGAATTCAGTATGACTTGTCCGACATGGAGCAGTGCTTTCCAACTAGCAGCTGACCATTCAGCAGCCATGACGCTGGCTCCCAGCTCCCAACAAAAGCACAGAAGTCAACCAGCCACCACTTTGGCTCCCACCCAGTATGCACCAGTCTAGAGGCAGCAGACAAAAAGAAGAGAACACAGTACACACTGGTGCATAACACTTGATAGTACATGGGAAGCCACCTGTCCTAGCCTGCTGTTAAGTGAACTTCTCTGGTGACCCACCAGCTTGCTGCTCCTGAGTTAGCCCATTTCTTTTCATTGTTAAAGCACGACTAACATTAGTGTAAGCAATTAACTGCAGTTGCTTATCAGAATGAATTTATCTGCTCAGCAACTGAAGCTTAAAAAAGGGAAACAACCAAGAAAGGCACCCCAAAAAACACACAACACAGACAGCAGCAGCATGGAAAAATACATCTAGAGCACAACAGTGAGGTCTTTTTAAAAGATGAAAAGTAAGTAAGCAGAAGCATAGTCAATGCAATACGGTTAATTTAATTCTGGTTTCTTTATAGGCAAAAAGGCCAAAAGAAAAACTAAGCTTCAGTCTCATACAGTAATGATAAGGATGTTTGCTTTTGTAAGCAAGTGTGTTAAAACTTCCAGGTCTAGTAAACTGGTTACTGTAAAGCTCCAGTTTCCATACTGAGGTCAGGGCTTGAATTTAGTTTCTGAATGTCAAGAGTTGGTCTAAGTGCAGATACAGCCACCATGTTTCTAACTCACTAATACACAAATAAAAGTTAAAACTTCAGCTGTTACACCTCATATGCCATCGATTTCACCTGAGAACCACCTAAACCTACACCACATTACAAATGGGATTTCTTTTTTCAAAACAAAATCAGTAATCAACAGGTTGAATTAAACAAACACTGTTTGGTGGAAACAATAACAGAACACACTAGGCAGAAAATTCAGTTATCGCTATTCCTTTTTCACTTCAAACAGCAAAGTAAAGTAGTCTATCAAAACTATTCCTTGGTCAACTCAAGAAATTATCATAATGCAGTGAGACACTGTTTATTATAGAACTCTGGACAGTTCTCTTTCACTTCTTGTGTCATGAGAAGCCAGGATTAACTACATCCCAAACCACAGAGATTTCCCATCATAGTCTTGGAAAATCCTCTTATAGTCACCAGCTGTCTTTCTCTCTTTTCTGTATTTTTAACTTTGCTATCAACCTGTACATATCAAACTCAGCAAAATGCTACTCTTAAAACTTTATACAGCTGATGGTCTCCCCAGGAAACGAAACTGCCTCTCTTTAGAAAGGGCTTTGATTTTCTATTGACAAATATCTGAAGAGCATACAAAAATCAATCCCTTTTTGCTCCCAACAACACGTTACTGGAAAAAGTGGGAAAAAGCAGAGGAAAGTGATTCTTTAGATCTGTGCCAAAAATTCATTCAACAGTAAGTGTTGCCACCACTTCTACACCACTTCTACAGCACTTTATATTAGAGAAGGAAATAGGTGCAGCAAACAGGTCATGTAAACACACTGATAGTCACTGACAGTAACTGAAAATTTGGTCTCTGACTCCTCATTTGTTTTTAGATATGAAAGTTACAAACAGTTTACACACTGCTCTAAGATGCTGCACCACCTTCTCTTCCAATGAAATTTTTTTCAGAGGCAAAGGAACAGCTTACTCTTTGTAATACTCTCACTTCCCTCAGTTTATCTTTTGCTGGAAGACAAATTAGGAACTGCCAAGTACAGAGAAATGGGATTCTCTTTTTCTAAAAATGCCTGACATCACCCAGTTTCATCTAACAAACATACAAGTCTGACCAAAACAACACCTCATGTAACTATGGGGAGAAAAAAAAAGAAAAGCATTATCTGAATCCCCAATATCTACTACAAAAGAATTAGAAAAACAGAAAGAAAATACTTCTTCAATTCTAAGTACCACACTCCAAGTAAGCACTAGTTTTTGAAATGAACACCACTACTTATTGAGAGTGTTCCTAGACTGAAGCTTTCAACTGGCAACCTAAGGCTGCTGTAAAAGCAAATTAGACACAGATTTTACTTACTGCCTGTACCTAACTATGTAAGCGTTAAACTGACAAAATTAACCAAAACCTTCACCATGGACAAAATAAAAAGATAAAAAACAAATAAATAAAGAAACTAAACCTAAAAAAACCCACCACCTAAAAAAAAAAAAAACACAGCCTGACACTGTCAGAATACTTCAGAGGGAGTTACATATTTCCACTTTAAAAAAAGAAGAAGATAAATGGTCTTTCTGAACAGCATTTAGATGAATTACAACAGAAAGCAAAGCTCTCTTCTTTTATTACTGTAACACTTGGGTAAATATTATCCACACAAGGATTATAACTAGCATTACTTAATAAACAAAACACATACCACTCTGGCTGCTCTTTCCTGAGATTCACACTTTCTGCAAAACCATGGTCCAGTGGGTACTTGAACAATTCCATAGCAAGCTGTTTTGAACAAGACAAAACAATTCAGCAAATATAAATAGCACTACAACACTATGTTCTAAAATAAACTTACTATCAGTTGATCTCACATAATTTTAATTATCAAGAAACTGACATCTATACATTGCACATGAAATCCTATCACAGAAGTACAAGAAATTAAGCATGAGCTTAGATTTTTAAAACCTGAGTTCTTCCCAAGACATTTATTCATACTTACTATCCAGTTTTCTTACTCTTTTAAGTAAATTAATTGGTCTTAAGCAGAAAATCCATAGTGAACAGAACAAATTTTGCTTTTTTACTCCAGAAAATTCACAGAGCTGTAAATACAAACTGAACTGAGCATAAGGACTTGGATTTGTTGCAACTTGAGCGAGACTACAACTAAAATCCTTAGGAAAGAGATTTTCAGGCATGCAGATTTATCTGCAAGACAGTCATCTATATTTTTGCAGTATATAAAAGCAACCCCAAGAGTTTGTTACGAAATTCCACAGAAAAGAAGCAATTTGGCGACACTGCTCATGCTTGAAATGCACACATCAAGCAACCTTGAAAACTACAGACAGAATGAAAATACAAGAACACAAGTGCTGTGAGTATACTCTAATATTTTAATGGGTGTAGCAAATAACAAAGAACCAAAAAGCCAAGCATTTTGCTCAAAGATAATCCCAAAGTATTAAAGATAAGTCAGAATCAATTCTCAACAATCATATGTTATTTAAATCTTAAAAATCAGGTTTAAGCATGTAAGTAGAAAAAAAATATTAATATAAAATTATGAAGAAAGCTGAGATTAAATTAGTAATTTCTAGTTGTACTATACAAATATATTGATTTTGTGATAGCTTGAAAATGAAAAACAATAATGCAACAGTGATATAAAAACATCTGGCTAATACACCTTCATTTCCATGAAGGAAAGTCAATGAAATCATTTCCTATTAAATACATACATGTAGTCATATTAAGATCAGCTGTCAGATTTTCAAATACTTTATTTAAGTACCTACAGTCCAAACTATTCTGATAAGCCCTTTCTACTATATAATATAATTCTTTAACATGAGAAAAAAAGAAAAACAACTCATTTTCATTGCATCGATATTAACGACAGACGGGAGGACTCAATTTCTCATTTCTCTTTAGATATTAAGAGGGACATTTTAAATGCACAATCATACATTTAGGGTAGCAAGTGACAGTGCAGAATAGGAAACAAATATAAAATGCAACTCAGAGACAGGGCTGGAAAGTGGATCCAAAGACAACACGAGTTGGGCAAAGACCAAAATTGAAGTGAAGCACTTCTATATCTGCCAGGGTAACAGAGCACTCCTAGAAGAGTCCATCACAGGTTTGTGCTGTGATACACCGTGATACCATTTACAGTATCACTTCCACTACTGTGCAAAGCTTCTTTAAACACATGAAGAGATCTTGTCCTTCATAATTTGCCAATGACTTAACAACTGAAAAGAAGTTTCCTCTGAACTAAGAATAACTGTAATAACAAAACAAAGCAGTTAATAAAGTTTTATGGATAATACTGCTGCTTGTACCTCAAATGCAGACTATGAGCTTTGACCATGAGGACTACATTTACTACAGAAAGTCCACAAAAAGAGTGGATATACCTCCTCTACCACCTTTGTTCACATGATGTATCAAATCCAAAATGTAAAGCATCAATGGTACAGTAAATCAAAACATGGAATTTTTCCTTTCTTAAGATCTCTGTAACAGCTTCTGGATTTATACCAAGCAGTACTTTGCATACTTCCTGACAGATTCCAATACAGGCTAGGATATAACTTTAAAAAAAAAAAGTTCATTTTCTTGTACCTGCTGAAGTGTGTCTCTCTTTACTAGGAATACTTTCTATAACTGACTTTTGTTCCTGCTATTTCAGCTCCAACTGCTGCTATCATCCAATTCTTTCACAGAAAACATCAGCAAGGCTCTAAATACAAAGGAAGATGTCCAAGATAATGCAAAAGAAATAGTTGTTTCAGGTATGACTTTTAGAAGTATTCACATTCCAGTGTTCTTCTTCATGATCCTAAGATTCCACAAGAGCAGTCAACCTACTGATTAACATTGCTCAGCTCTTAAGACGACAGAAAACCAATTCAAAACCAGATTAATTTCAGAGGTCCTGTCAGCTCCCCTCTGTGTTCAATGTAATGTTAAGAAAAATAACTTCATTATTTTGTATATCTCCTTAAATCATTACTATTTCTCACTATTTGTCAACTTACAAGGGAGCATATACTTGGAACAATCAACTACTGTATTACATCAGCACACTTTAAGACCAAGCATGAGACACACATTAGTAGCAATTTCACATGCACTAGGCATTCAGATTAATGAATTGGATTTAGGATTTTCTGTCTCCTCCAATTTGTCCACCACCTGCAAGTTGCCAAAATGCCAGTCACTGAGTTCATATGACTGCTTAAGAGTTGGTACAGAAAAATTACCATCTTATTCCTTATTTCTGCAACCATAAAGGAAAAGTTATGATGACTTCCTTTCTTACAAAGTAAGCAGCAGAATCATTTCTTCCTCTGCTCTCACACGAAGGGTCAATCCACTGACAGAAACAAAACAATCACACAGAGGGAACATGCCAGCTCCTGAACTGAGCTGGAAACCAACCAACCAGCCTCCACTAAGCCAAACAAATCCAGCATCAGCCATTCCAAACAGTACCCTCCCCCTGCAGAACCACAACAGGAAGTCTCTTACCAGGGAACATCAGCCAAATGACATTCAAGGAAAGGCAGGCAGAGATAGAAATCACATGACAGCTAAGTCTTTCCTACACACCTCTCTCTTCCAATCCTAAACTCTCCTTGTCTCCTGGCTGCCCCTCAAATAAATTTTTCAAACTTGGGAAAGGCAGGGACAACAGGGATCGCATGGGGGAAAAAAGAAATACAGCAATAACTACCGGAGTACGGTACAGTAACAAGTTCTGCCAAGACCAAAAGCAACATTAGAGAGTCTTTGAAACGTTGCAGCTGAGGTTGTTAAGTGGGTGCAGAAGCAGACTGAGAAGCACAGACATAGAAAACACGCAGTAGAAGAGGAAAGGGAAAAAAGCTGGAAACGGGAGTTCTTCCTTTCTCACAGCCATAACGCAGGAGAACATACTATACTAAGTCTCATGTGAGGGAAAAGACAGACGGGAAGGAGAGAAGATGACAGAGCAAGTCAAACCAGAAAGCACGTGGCCTTAGAAACAGGGAAACAGGCTTCATGGGTAAAAAGAAGGAGCTGGGAGGGGGAGGGAAAAAAAGGGGGAAAAACGGCCGGGGGGTGGGGAGGAGAAGGAAGCATGGCCAGGGGAAGAAGACAGGGAGCACCGAGAAGAAAGTGGGGAGGCTGGAGGCCGGAGCGGGTGCGCTGCCCTCGCCTGCCCGCTCACCTTGATGCACTGCGACATTGCAGCCGTGCCCGTCGCAGTAGACGAGCGGGTTCTCGGCCCAGCCCCGCTCGTCGGAGCACACGCAGCAGCCGCCGATCATCTCCTTCATGCTACTGGAGAACTCGCCCTCCAGTGACACCGGCAGCAGCAGCGGCTCGCTGGAGACCATCTAAGGGTTAAAAACACCGTCGTCAACACCGCGCACGCCACACGCGCCTCGCCCTCCGCCTGCCCCCTCCCCCGGCGGGGTCTCCCCTCAGTCACTCAGCCGCAGCCGCCGCCACCGCCGCCGCGGCAGCGCTTCGGGACCCATGACCGCCGGCTGAGCGCCTCGTCTCGCCCCCGCCCGACCAACCGGCCAGGCTGTGTCGGTCGGGCCGCGGCGGCTCCCGAGGCGGACGCGGCTCCGCGGGCGGGCACGGCGGCGGCGCCGGCGCGCAGGCGCACTGCGCGCGCGCCCGCGGGGCGGGCAGGCCTCGGCCCGGGGCCTCCTCGCGAGGGTTCGCGCGCCGCCCGCGGAACGTGAGCGCCGCCGCGGCGCCCCGAGCGCGCGCCCCCTCCGCCGCCGCCCCCTCCGAGAGAGCGTGCGCGGGAGCGCGCGCGGCGCCCCGCCGGCGGCGCGCGCCCGCCCCTCGCCGACCCCGCGCGCACCTGACGGCCCGCGCGCGCACCCACCTCGGCGCGCGGCCACGGCCCGTCCCCCGCGCGGGACATGGCGGGGCCCCCCCCGCGCGCGCCGGGGCCGCGGGACAGCCCGCGCGACGCCGCGTCCCGCCCGGCCCTCCCCGCCCCCGCCGGCGCCGCACGCGCCGCGCGCTGCCCCCCGCCCGCCCCTCGGCCGCGGGGGCGGGGAGGCGGCGGACATGCGCCCCGCTCCCACCCGCGCCGCCGCTCCGCGGGCCCCCTTCAGGAAGGCCGCGGGACGCGCCCCATGCCCAACCCCTCCCCACCCCCCCGAAATCATTTTTACTATCTTGTTTATTTTCCCCCTGATGTGACTGCAGGACTAATGCATTCCCGCTCCCAACTTTTATTATCCTGTTTATATCCCCTCGGTGTGCCTGCAGGACTAATGCGTTCTCGCTATTACGCCACTTGCCTGCCCTCACCGCAACTTTCAGTATTTTGTTTATTTTCCCTGCGATGGGGCTGCAAAGCTAATGCATTATTAATCCCGCTCTTTCCTCTTCCCTCAAAACTCATGGCGTGGATGCAGCGCTGCCTGGCTATTCCTGCCACGGCAGCGAAAGTGATGCTGAACGGGCGATCTGACAAATAGAGAAACCAGGGAGGCCGCAGACACACAAAAACAAACATGTTCTTCAATACAGCTGCTCTCTACTTTTACTCAGAGGTGGACGTGTCTTTCTAGAAGTTGGGAGGTTTTTTTTTGTTTTTTTTTTTTTTTAAAACAATTCTGTAATTCTGTTGTCTCTCTAAATTAAAAGGGGGGGGGGGCAAAAGAAACAGAAACGGAGGGGAGCGAGCTGAGGTGGTCAGCAGAGAGGAAAATCTCAGCCTATTCAATTCTCCATTGTAAGCAGGTATGCCTGTAGCAGAAGGAACTAATTGTGGTGATTGTTAGGAGCATAGAGAAATTAAATGCAACCTTGCAAAATCCTGGTCACTCACTTGCCCCCGGCCTAGCATTTATTTATTTATTTTATTTTGTGTTGGTCAAGGAAGAGATCGTTGATTCATCTTCATTATCATGCTAAAAGGCAGAGAAGCAGAATTTGTGCGTGGGCTGTATTTTTCACTATGATTTTACAAGAGCAGCTTAGCTGCTATCTGTACAAATCACTACCGATGTATATTCCTGGACACAGCACTACCTAGACCCACACGTGCAGATTGTATTTTATACACTGTCACAGTCCTGTACACAAGTGCAGATGTTTCATTAGTTAACAAACTGCTACGTGGAAGGGAGAGGTGGGATGTGCACAGCTCTACCCCCTGCGGACATCCGAGTCTGCAGTTTATATTCAGGATATCTTAGGTCAAGCTCTTTTCTCTCCTTCAAGTTTTAAGTGAAATTATTTTGATAGAGGAAGAATGGCAGGCAGGCAAAAAATAATCATGGAGGTAGCTTCCTACGTGCAAGGCCCAACCAAACATGAGATTATTGCAGCCATTTGGGGCGCATTCTAAGCATTTCTCTGTAAATATATGCTCCAAATAGCCATAAGAGTTTAGAAACTTTTAAGATACGTGAAAAAATGGAGGGGGAGGAGACTGGAATGTCGTACGTTTCAGTTGTGCAAAATCAAAGATTGCTCTCAAAAAAACCCACCCTGCACCAAATGTCATATCAACACTGAAAAACACAAATTTGAACATAAAACTATTTGTTATATAACATACTTAAAACACTATTTTTATTACTTTAAAAACTCATAAAAATACCCTGAAAATTGCAGGTACAAGCAATTACTTTGTAAGAAAATAAAGCAATTAATATATATGTTTTAAAAAAACTCAAATTATTTGAAGCCGATAGATACAGTGTCGCAGCCCTTCTTCATTCTTGTCAAGAAAATGACATCTAATTTAAAAAACATTGTCAATGATTCTGCTAACCCCAACAAAAAATAAAAAAAAGAAAAAAAAAGTCACGGTACAGCAGCAAATCTATCCTTTATTTCCCTGAGAGATAAATTTAAATAAATATCCTTTTAAAATGAATATATGTTAAATAAATTTTGATAGATTAATTCATACATTTACTAAAACGTGTAGTGAAACAAACAATTGTAAATTTTTCTCACCGCTTTTTTTTTAATTCATTGAGGTCTTCCTGTAATTTCTTCTCTGAAAAGCAACTACTACAATCAATTCCCAAGCGCCTTTTTTTTTAATGTTTGCTATTTTAAATCTCAATCTTTAGTTTTATAATGAAGCATCACCAAAGAAAAAAAAAATTACTTTGCAACAACTTGATTAAAGCTGCACCATAGCAACAAGAGTATATTCATGAAGAACCTACTGTATAGTTTTCAAATAAAAATATTGTAATCTCACACCATGTAACACACCAGCTCAGTATTGAACAGCCCGAAATTTTGCTTTGGTTAAAATTCAGTCAAGCTTAATACATTCAATTATTTAATGAGACATTTGTTGTCTTCTTATAGATTTCTATTTAATTCTATAGAAATAAAAAGAGTATACATGGAGTGGAAGAAACTCTATGACTATCACTTTGTGGTATTGTATAATATTTGATTGAAAAATTTAGATAACCTCTTGATAGTTCTGCAAAACAATCATTTAGCAAAGACCTTTGAAATGCAAAATAGGAAAAGAAATGCATTACCACTAAATAAATACTGCAAACACTAAGCCTATAACAGCTATGGAATCAGAACATAAAATCTTGTAGCATATATGTTCTTATGATTGTAGTATTTAATAAGCACTGACATGATACAGAAGGCCAATTTTCTTTATTTAAAAAAGGAAGCCTGTCCTTCTTATAGTGATATATAAGAGATTAAAATAATTAGAGAAGAATATAATTCAGTGAGTAAGAATGAATAATTTTATTGTTAATCTAAATGCAAGGAGAAAATCCAATTCGCTTAAAGGAACCTACAAAATCTAGAAGCTAAAGAAGTTAGAATATAAGAAACTTTCAAGAAGATTCTGTGTTTCAATTTTTCTTAGATACTTTCACAAACAGAATGAATGTGTAAGTGAAAGAAAATTACACTCTCCAATTGCAGATTGTTTTTAAAAGTTTAAGGCATTCCTCAAGAAAACATTAGCATGTATGAGTGAATAGCACTTCAGTTTCATGAACAAAAATAAAGACCTACTCATAAATTTTTACTACAAAATAATCAGTTGCAACAGTAAAACTAAGATTTTTTGAATGCTTGGTTTAAATGTCACCTTTTTTCCTTAAAATGTGCAAAATCATATTGTAATTTTAGTGAATAAAACAAAGCATTGAACAAGAAAAAGTCTTTAATTTACAAAGCCACATTACCAGTTGAATATAATCATCAGAAGAATGTTCCAAAAATAACAGAAAAAGCATAGACTTGATATAAAATGCATACTATATTAGAAACATAAATCGATATTGGGACTTGGAGCTGTAGAGCAGGGAAACTCACTTCCTTCCAGAAAGCAAACTTCTCACAGTAATTTTTACTCCATTTTCAGATTAGGTCTTTGTTGAGAAAGCTGTGATCTTTACCTACATGCAAAAAGATACATGCTGCAGCTAAACAGATCCAACTGAAAACAGAAAAATTGCAGTAGCTTAGTGATGTTCAATAGGTAGAATGATCTATCTCTTGATTATCCATTTAAAATACATTGATGCTTGTCTGTCTTTTGTTTATGTGGTTTTAAATCATAAACAGCATTCACTGAAATACCTTCTAATCGTGGGTATTGGCTTCATTTCTGGCAAGGCAACAGTGAAATGGTCACTTTACACAAAACAAAATGCAACTCTTCCGTGTTGACCCTTGCACACAGTGCATTTTAAATGGCAGTCTGCCTTAGATCCAACAAATTCTTTCTATCCATGTTCAGTTATGAAAGATACAGCATGTCTACAGAACCCACATTAGTAGAGTAAATGTATCTTTACATGCTTACTCCTAGATTGTATTTGAGGAAGAGTAAAGTTTTCTTTTTCCTCTTCTTCTTCTTTAATATACTGCTAAAATCTGTATCTAACACCTATCAAAATGCAACATACTGAATAATTTAGACGTCTCAACATTTAGCATGTAGTCACTTGGTGATGAGGAATTTGCATTGCTCTGTGTATTTACATGTCATGCAAGTACAGGTAGCAGCGTTGGAGGTCATGTCAGTGCATCTCCTGGACACCATGCCTCTTCATATGTTGTGCTATTTTCTTTTATGAGAACATATTTACAAGTTTTGTAGTTCTCTAGACTGCAAAAAAAGGGGAAAATAATTCCACCAACTATTGCATTCCTTTTCTTGCTTTTAATTGTATTAACACCTTTGGAGAGTTTGGTAAATTCCACTTAGCTAGCAGCAATGGATAAAATTGGTGGTTTTCAAGTACTGCTTCTTTTACTAGTGTTGGCATTTAAATGTTAATTTCAGACTGAGGTTTACAGTAAACATGAAACAAGGGATTTTCTTTGAATGAACAAACTCAAATCAAAATTCTAAATAAAGGAAACCTAGCACAGGATGTTTTTAAGTGCAGTGATTATTTCCTTTTAAAGATTTAACATTCCCTAAGTGATAGAAGTTAAAGAAGTTAAATGTGACAGTTAATTTATAATACTCTAC